AAGTAGTCCTTCGATTAAGTGCAAGAAATAGCTCTCTTACATTTTGACTTCGATCTATAGATTTAAAGGGTTAACAGGCAAATATAAACACTTAGAAAGTTCGAAAAACTGGAATTGAGCGCTCGATGCCAAATTCTGCTTCGGTGAACCAGCAGTCCTAAGTAAATATATTTTCCCCTGAGGTAACGCATTCCGAAATCTAGTGGCATCGCTACTCGCTTAAAAATACTTCCTTTCCTGTCCTTTTCTGTGTTTTATAGGTCTAATAGCACAATTTTTTGAAGTGGAAATAAGTGCATTTGGAAAATGTACGCAAATCCCGTCCACCATATGCGGGCAGTGATTATCACTTTGCAAAAATGCGCGCTTGAACCGGCTACTTCTTATGTAGATGTACGACGATTTGCTTGTAAAGATTTTATTACATGCCAACGCAGTATTTCTGTGCTGCTTTTAAAAAGTTGCCAGCTACCATTGATACTGAGTAGTAACATGATGACGAATACAACACAGAGACTAAGATATCAAGGTGATATCTCAATTTTATCAATTTTGAAGTCACTTATAGCTTACGTTCAGGTAAAGCAACCAGATGCATAACAATGACGACTGCATTTTACCGCTGTGATAAAGTGATTCAGATACTTTCTGAAATACATGCCAAAACGCCATTAGAGTTTGGAAATGTCTGAAAAGCTTGCTATGCAATTAGACAAAAGCTGCGATTTTATAAGGGCGGTGAAAATTTTAGAAAGACAGTATTGCGGCAGTTTTGTTTCTGAGATTGTTGCTGCCTTTTTTTTTTTTGAACTTTTGAAAAGCCAAAATCATCCAAGAAGAGAAATGAGAGAAAAAAAATGAAAGAAAAAAATCTAGAACGTGCCGCACTAGGCTTGCCGGAGTAATAATGCGTTTTTGCGCTGAACTAGAAGCAGCTAGGTCGTTAACTGTATGAATGTTTGTTGCTTTACAACTTTTGCACTCAATGTCGCAAGTCGCCGTAAATTTTGCATTAAAAAAATGAATAATTCCCGCTGAGTTGTCATTCACTGAAAACTCTAGGCTGGAATGCACCAAGCTTGCTGGTACGATCACGCATTTTGCAT